CCACACTCAGCAGGGAGTCTGCTTGAGGATTCTCTATCCCTCTCTCTCTGCCCCTCCCCCTCCCCCTCCCTCTCTCTCTCTCTCTCTCTCTCTCTCTCTGTCTCTCAAATAAATAAATCTTCAAAAATTTTAAAAATAGGGGCTCAGTCGTTAAGTGTCTGCCTTCAGCTCAGGTCATGATCCCAGAGTCCTGGGATCGAACCCCACATCGGGCTCCCTGCTCAGCGGGGAGCCTGCTTCTCCCTCTCCCACTCCCCCTGCTTGTGTTCCCTCTCTCACTATGTCTCTCTCTGTCAAAATAAATCAATAAAATCTTTAAAAATTTTTAAAAATTAAAATTAAAAAAAAAACACAAATGTGCCACTCTGGTGTAGGATGTTGATAGTGGGGGAGGCTGTACTTGTGTGGAAGCAAGGAATATATGGGAACTCTGTGTACTTTCCACTCAGTTTTGCTGCCCTAAAAACCAAAGTTTACTTTAAAAAATGTGGCTCAGTCAGTTAAGTGTATGACTCTTGATTTTGGCTCAGTTCATGATTTCAGGGTTGTGAGATCAAGTCTCATGTTAGGCTCTGGGCTGGCCATGGAGCTTGCTTAAAATTCTCTCCCTCTCCCCCTTTCATCCCTCCCCACTCTCACTCTCTCTCTCTCTCTAAAAAAAAAAAAAATTAATTGAAAGGAATATCAGTGTGGGACAATGACAAAGGATCTGAAGTTCCTATCCTGAAGAGGAGAATGTGTGGAGCTGAAAAAGTACTCAAAGAAATTATGGCTGAAAACTTTTCAAATTTGGTAAGAGATAGAAACGTAGGATTTGAGAAGCTGAGTAAAACCCAAATGAGACAAACCTGAAGAAATCCACACCAAGATACATTGTAGTCAAATATCTGAAAACTAAAGACAAAGAAAAAACTTTCAAAGCAGAAAGAGAAACAACACTTTGTCAGTAAAGAAATAGCAATTCAAAAGACAGAAAATTTCTCATCAGATACCATGGAGGCCAACAAAAAAATGACACAACATTTTTCAAAAGCTGAAAGAAAGAACAGTGAATCTAGAGTCCTACCTCCAGTGAAAATATCCCTCAGGAATGAAGGGGACATCAAGATATTTTCAGGTGAAGGAAAACTAAGAACATTTGTCACAAGGAGACCTACGTGAGGGAATGAGTAATTGAAGTTTTCTAAACAGTAAAGATAATAGAAGAAATCTTAGAAAATTGGGAAGAAAAAACATGATAAGCAAAACTATGGGCAAATACAGTAGACTTTCTTTCTCCCCTTGAATTGTCTAGTGTTTGAAGGTTGAGGCCAGAATTAGAAAATTAATGTGGTTCTAAATGTACATAGAGGACATTAAAGACAATTGTATTATAAATGCGTGAAGGTAAAGGAATGCAAAAGGAGATAAGGTTTCTATGCTTTATCCAAACTGGTAAAATGACAATATCATAGATTTTTGGTACACACACACACACACACACACACACACACACACACAACACAAATGTACCCAGAGCACCCATTTAAAAAGTTATACAAAAAGTTACAGTCAAAAACATCATAGATAAATCAAAACTGAATTCTAAAAAATGTTCAAGTAACCCAAAGGAAGGCAGGAAAAATAAAACAGAAATGAAAACAGAAAAAACAGAAAAAAATTAAATGGCAGACTTAAACCCTAACATATTAATAACTACCTTAAATGTGGGGCGCCTGGGTGGCTCAGTCAGTTAAGCCTTGACTCTTGATTTTGGATCAGGTCGTGGTCTCAGGGTCGTGAGATCAGGCTCCGTGTGGGGCTTGAAACTCAAGAGGGAGTCTGCTTGAGATTCTCTCTCTCTCCCCCCTCCCCTTGCTCTCGTGCATGCGTGCACATGCACTCTCTCTCTCTAAAATAAATAAATAAGTCTTTAAAAAACTACCTTAAATGTAAATGACCTATATATACCAATTGAGAGACAGAGATTGGCAGAGTGGATTAAAAACCATGACCCAATTTACATGCTATCTACAAAAGACTCACTTCAAGTACAATAATAGTAAGAGGTTGAGAGTAAAAAGGCTAGAAAAACATATATCATGCAAACAGTAATAAAGAAAAAGGAGTGGTTATATCAATATCAAATTAAGTGGATGTTAGAGCAGAGAAAATTACCAAAGACAGAGAGGGGCATTACATAATGATTAAAGGAGTGAATCCCCCAAAAAGAGAAAGCTATCCTAAGTATGTAGGATTTGCAACAGAGGTGCAAATTATGTGAAGCGAAACCTGGTAGAGCTGAAAGGAGAAATAGAAAAAGCCGCAATTACGGTTGGAGACTTCCTACATTCCTCTCTCAACAATAATAGAATTAGACAGAAAATCAGGAAGGATATAGAAATCAACAACACTATCAACCAATGTGATCTGAAGAACATTTATAGAACATGTCACCCAACCATAGCCAAATACATGTTCTTTTCCAGCGCCCATGGAACATGTCAAGATAGAGCATATTCTGGGCCATGAACAAACCCCAACAAATTTTTATTTTTTTTAAGTAAGCTCTATGCCCAACATGGGGCTTGAGCTCATGACCCCAAGATCAAGAGTCACATGCTCCACCCACTGAGCCAGCCAGGCACCCCCAAATCCCAACAAATTTAAACGAATTGTGTTCAAATGCATATGTACTCCAACCACAAAGGAATCAAAGTAGAAATCAAAACCAGAAAGATAACGGGAAAATCTGCAAACACTTGGAAACGAATCATTCACTCCTAAATAACCCATGGGCCAAAGAGTCTCAAGGGATTCCATAAAAATACATTGAACAGAAGGAGAATGGAAATACAATATACCAAAACTTGTGGTTTTTGACAAAGGTGCAAAATCAATTCAATGGAGAGAGCATAGCCTTTCCAACAAATGATGCTGGAGCAGTTGAACAACCACAGGCAAAAGAATAAACTATGACCTAAGCCTCAAACACACAAAATAGATCACAGATTTAAACTTACAACCTAAAGCTATAAATCTTTGAGTAAAAAGGACAAAATTTTGGGGATCTCGAGTTAGATAAAGAGTTCTTGACACCAAAATCATGACCCATAGGAAGAAAACTTGATAAATTGCACTTCACCAAAATTTAAAACGTTTGCTCTGAGAAACACCAGGTAAAAAGATGGAAAAGACAAGTCACGGTGTGATAGAACATATTTGCAGAGCACATATCCAACAAAGAACAAGTATCTATGATATATAAAGAACTCTCAAAACTCAACTGCAAAAAAACAGTCCAACTGTAAAATGGGCAAATGACAGAAACATTTTACCCAAGAGGATGTGGCATAGATGGCAAGAGAGCACATGCAAAAATGAACATGTTTAGCCACTAGGGAAATACAAGTTAAAACCACAGTGAGATGTCACTACACATGCATCAGAATGGCTAAAATTGAAAATAGTGACACCACCAAATGCTGGTGAGGATGCAGAGAAACTGGATTCCTCATACACTGCTGGTGGGACTGTACAATGGTACAGCCACTAGGGCAAATCATTTCTGAACAAACTAAAATACACTTATAATATGACCCAGCAATTGCACTCTTGGGCATTTTTCCCAGAGAAATGAAGACTTTTGTTCACACAAAAACCTATACACGAATGTTTATAGCAAGTTTATTCATAATAACCCCAAACCCGGAACAAGCCAGAGGTCTTCAACAGGTGAATGGCTAAACAAACTACAATGTATCCATATCATGGACTACTACTTAGCAATAAAAAGGAGTGAAGTTTAAGATATGCAACAGCTTGGACAAATGTCCGCTTTCCTCATTTGTAATAAGATGTAGGGGGGGGGGCAGGGTGTCTCAAGGGCCTTCCTGTTTGGGAACTCAAGATACAGATGAGCAGAGTGGGGCAGGATGAGAGCATATTTGGAAGAGCTTAGGGCTTGTATTTATTTTATATTTTATTTTATGTTTTAGAATTTTTAGAGATTCAAAATAAACAGAAGGAACTGGCTCGATGGATGACAGCTGTTGTGTTTCACGGGCATCCTACGGAGCCCATTTTGAAAGCCGGGAACTCAGGAGGAGAAGAGTTTAGGGTAGTTGCATTCTGTTAGCAAAGGCCATAGAGTCTGCTTAGTTGCAGGGAATGAGTTTCAGAAGAGTGGCTCTTGCCTTCTTACACTGAGATCTTACACTTAAATTAGTGTAAGACCTAACCTGAAAGGACTCTGTGTTCCCAGGCACATTAGGAAATGTAAAGGTTCACCAGTCAGGGCACATGAAAAACGAGAAAGGCGCCTTGCCCCCTGAACACTAGGAGTAATGGGAAGTCCATCGTCAGAGCACATTTAGCTGGTGGTACAGTATTTGTTATGTGAGTCTCAAGCATGACCAGTGTCTGTATTGTGTTCAGGTTTGGAAATGAAGTAGGGACTGAGTCCATGAACGATTCTACCAGACTGATTGCTACACATAATATTCAAAGTCGAAGTTTTTTTTTTTTTCAAGATTTTTATTTATTTGCGAGAGAGAGAATGAGAGTCAGAGAGCCTGAGAGGGAGGAGGGTCAGAGGGAGAAGCAGACTCTCCGCCGAGCAGGGAGCCCGATGTGGGACTCGATCCCGGGACTCCAGGATCATGACCTGAGCCGAAGGCAGTTGCCGGACCAACTAACTGAGCCACCCAGGCGCCCCTATTCAAAGCCGAAGTTTTACACGCGGGCTTCAAAGCCCTCTAAAATCGAAAGCAACCGTTGCTACGGGGTCCGCTGGGGGCGTATTTAGGGTCTCCCAACAGCCAATCGTAGTGCCAGGCGTTTGCGAGGGGGCGTAGCCGTGTAGAGACAGTGGCCAATGGCAAAGAGGGCCGTGAATAGGGTGAGGGCAACCGCCGGATGACTTGAGCCTGAGCCGAGCGCAGCGGCAAGGGGAGGCTGAGGACTCGCAGCTTGTTCCGGGGTTTGAGCTGTTAGTCTGAACCGTAGGCGGTACTTCAGCTGCCACCCATCTTCGAGGCTCACCTGCCGTTAAACGTCATGGAAGATTCTCAGAGTGAGCCACAGCGGATAATACGACGCCACCACCGCGAGAGGAAAGAGCTGCAGGCCCGCATCCAGGGCATGAAGAACTCGGTGCCCAAGAGCGACAAGAAAAGAAGAAAGCAGTTGCTCCTAGACGTGGCCCGCCTCGAGGCCGAGATGGAGCAGAAGCACCAGCAGGAGCTGGAGACGTTCCGAGAGAGTTTCCCTGGTGACGGCAACCTCGACTCCGTCACAGAAGATCTCTCCAAGATGAATCTTGAGAACCAGCCTCCCCGCCAGTCGAGGGCACAGAGAAGGCGCGAAAGAAGGGCGGCCCTCGAGAGAGTGCGCCAGGAGAGGATGGCCAAGGCCGAGATGGAGCAGCAGGCCAGCTTCCGCCGCGATGAGGAGGAGAAGCTCGCCGCCATCTTACGGGCCAAGAATCTGGAGCTGAAGGATATGCCGGCCGACGGCCACTGCATGTATCGCGCCATCCAAGACCAGCTGGCGTTCTCCGTGACGGTGGAGAGCCTGCGGAAACGCACCGCCAATTACATGCGCAAGCACGTGGACGACTTCCTGCCCTTCTTCCGCGACCCCGACACCGGCGACGCCTACAGTCGCCAAGATTTCTTGAGCTACTGTGACAACATCGTGCTCAGCCCGTCGTGGGGAGGCCAGCTCGAGCTGAGGGCCCTGTCGCACGTCCTGCAGACCCCCATCGAGGTGATCCAGGCCGATTTGCCTGCCGTCGTCATCGGGGTGGAGTACAGCAGGAAGCCGCTCACCCTCGTCTACCTGCGCTACGCCTGCAACCTCGGCGAGCACTACAGCTCGGTGAGACCCTTCAAGGCCGCCGCCGCCGCGTCTCGTCAGTAGGCTCCGTTTTTTTCCTTCGGTTTTCTCGGTTTTGTCTTGCTTCGTTTTACTAGAAAGTCGTTCCCCGCCCGCCCGCCCGCGCGCCGCCACCACCACCACCACTACCACTCTTCTCCGCCGCATTCCCCCACGGCCACGCTTTCTTACCTGGCGGTTCTAGCCCCTTCTCTCACCCATTCATTGCTTGGGGGGCTGGAGTGGGGGAGACTCGGGACAAGGGAAAGATCTGAACTGTACTACCTGAGGGGAGTAGGTTGGCCAAATGTTAACCGCTTCTTGCCCTCAAGGGTCTTTGCCTCCCTCGCAGATGAGAATTGGTCATGCCCCAGGTGCCTTTGAGATCAAAATGGAAACTTGGTTCGATGCATTCCTAACTGGGGACAAAATAGTTTAGCTCGGGATCTTAGGATCGTCCCGTGAATTCATTGGATTTTAGATAAAGGTGGAGTTTCTCTGATCGAAATGCTTTGTGAATGCCTTCTGCTTATTCTTTGGAAACAAATGTATCGCGGGCTGTTTTTTGGGGGGTTGCTTTTTACTTCAGCTGGGTTCTTCCGGAAATGTCTCAAGTTATGAACAAGAGCTCCTCTAGTATTTTGTTTTGTTTGTTTTCATACAACCTTGCGTGGTTCACGATTATTTTTCCTTATTTAGGATTTGCTAAAGTCTACATAAGAGTATTTGTTAAACTTAGAAATTAAATGCACCTACTAAACATAGAAACTAAATTTACAAAAACTGATAGGTAAGGTTCACTCTGAGATGTGAAAGATCTCAAGTTAATTTCCTTTATTAGAGATAAGAAGGAATATGACTTTATTCAAGTAGGTAATCCATTTCATTTTGTCTACAATTGGCACGAAGCAAAAAGAGACACACTGATGGGCAACTTAACTTCCTGTAAGGGTGAAGCCCGAACTAGTAAGTTTTCTTTACTGTGAGACATGAAAGGGTATAACTTTATTCAAGCAGTTCAGAAAAAAAAAAAGTGAGCATTCTACTTTTGTTGATAGTCAAGACTTGTTGATATCTTGAGTTCTCCGGTAGAATAGTAAAAATGAAAGGATTTACAATAAACAGTTTAAAAGTTTTCACATCTTTAGATCCTGTGTTTCAGTGAGGCTACTTAATTTCATTTAAAAAGTCCATTGTACACGCCAAATGTTCTCAAGCAAAATATATAAATGCAAAAATTTAAAAAAAATATGCAACTTGTTTTAAAAATAAAAGTTTTAAAAATACCTGGTTCTCTACTTTTCTGTAGCTGATTTAGTTTGTACAGAGTTTGTATCCCAGAATCTGCTTCAGCAAAGGAGTCCTGGAGGGTTAGGGAGGGGAGTTGGGAGCCAGATAAGGCTTTGGGGAGGAGGACTGGCCTGGTGGCAGCCTGGAGTGGAGTGTTCCCCAGGAAAGGATTTAGGGAGGACCTTTATCTAGAGGCTGTCCAGAGTTGATGTTTCACTCTGGGAAAAACATCCTGAAATGGTTTTGTTTAGCAATGAGAACATTGCTCTGCATGAAAAAAAAAAAAACCTCCCACTTCCAGCAAAGAGGGAAATCCTGCCAGGTGGCTCACCGTGTAAATATGTGTCAGAGAAGGTTCAGATGGCCAGCTGACTGAGAAGAAGAGGCCCCTGAGGAAACCAGGGATTGGGGTGCACTGTAAGAAGAAGGCCTTTTATAGGGGTGAGAAGACTGGCTGCCGAAGAGAGACAAGGCCCAGAAGGGAGGCATAGTCTGTAGAAGGGTGCCTGGCTGGGAAGGAGGGTGAAAGTTGGGGAAGTTGGGGAAGGCGTCAGCCTGGAAGTAAGAATGGGATGTGGCAGGGGAAAGCGGCACAGGCTGAGGAAGGGGACTAAGCTGATGAACAGGACATAGGCAGTAAAGAGAGCCTGGGTAGAGGGCGGGACCTGCAGGGGGTATAGGACACAGGTGGGCAAAGGGGACCTGACTGGGGACAGGGACAAAGGCTGGTGAAGGCCTCCAGAAATGGGAAGGGTGCTCTACTGGAGTGAGCTGCATTGGGTGGGGGAGAGGGCCGTGGCTAGGGTAGGAGACCTTGATGGAGAGGACGGCACAAGCTGGGAAAGAGGACCTGGCTGCAGGAGGATTCCTGGCAAGGGAAGTGGTCCAGGCCAGGGGTGGGAGCTTAGGCTGGTGAAGGGCTTCTGGTAGGAGAAGGCGGCCCCAGCTGGGGTGGGTTTTATAGGGAGGGGAAGGGAACCTGACTGGGAACTAGGTCACTTTCTGGGCAAGGGATCGGGGTAGGGGGCTCGAATAAGACTGGAAAGTAGGCTAGCTGTGGACTGAGACACTGGAAGGAGGAATAGACTGGTGAAGGGTCTACGCGTCAGAGCAGAAGTTCTGGCTGAAGGGCATACTGGATGTTGTAAAGGGGCCCATGGTTGTTGAATGGGGGAATGACTGGGCCAGGCTGCCTATCCAGGGGAGGGACACTTGCCTGGGAAGGGGGTCTGGAAGGAGAAGGGGCCTTGCTGGGGAAAGAGGCATTGACTAGGAAACAGGGTCTGATGGGAGGACTGGATGGAGGAGGGATCCCGGCTGGTAAAGGAGCCACCAGGCTTAGAAGGTTGCACAAAGCTGGAGAGGGGGCCCAGGCTGAGATGGGGACACAACCTGGGAAGGGAAAAGGGACCTGCCTCCGAAGGGGGCAGAGGCAGCAGAGGGGGCCCTTGCTGGGAAATTGGGCCTAGACAGAGAAGGGGGCTTAGGTAGGAAGGGAACACAGGCCTGAGAAGGGCCATATGATGTGGAAGCGGTCACGGCAGGAGAAGGGAGCCCAGCTGGGACTGGGGAGATGTCTGGGAGGTGCTGGCTACAAGGCACTAGGGTGCTAGCTGGGAAAGGTGGCCTAGGGACAGAAGCTTAGGTGGGCAAATGGGGCCAGGCAGGGAAAGCATGCTTATCTGGAGAGTAGGCCTGGTGGGGCAAGGAGGAATATCTTGGGGAAGAGGGAATAAGCAGAGGGGCATGAGAGCGGGGCAAGAGAACCTGGCTCTGGACCAGGGCATAGGGTGGGGAAATAGGTCTGGCTAAGAAGGGGATAATGGGGGAGGGGCTGGTTAGGGAAGGAGGAACCGACCGGTCAAGGGAAGGACGCCTAGTTGGATTAGGGGGCAAAGGATGAGAAAGGAGTTCTTGACTGTTAAAGGGGGAGGGGGGAAGCCTGGGGGAAGGGCGCCTGGCCAGGGAAGGAAATCCGGCTGGGAAAGTAGGCATCAGCTGAGGAGGACATAGACTAGGAAGGGGCCTAGATGTGGGAACGTGCCTGTCTTGCAAAGGGAGAACAAGCATGATCGGGTGGCACAAGCTGAGGATGGGAGACTGGCTGGAATGGGGGCACTGGGAGTGACCGTACCTTGGCGGGGAAAGGTGGCCTGAGTGGGGAGGGGCTCTGGCAGGGGAATAGCGCCTGGGAGGGAAGGGGAAGGTCGGCCTAGGGAGGAACATGGAGGCTAGGAAAGGAATCTGGTAGTGGGAGAAGTTTGGATGCCAAGAACCACATGAACTGGGCATGGGATAATAGGCGGGTTAATGGACCTAGCCAGGAGAGGGGAGCTAGCAGGTGGGGGACCTGAGGGCATGTGCCTTGACAGAGGTCCTGGCTGAGGGAGGGCATGTGGTTGAGGAAAGGGGCCTAGCTGAGAAGGAGGGCATAGGACAAGAAGGGGAGGCAGTCTGACAGAAGGGGGATAAGCTAGACAAGGGACTTGGCTGAGGAAGGGGGCCTTACTGGGAAGGAGGCTTGCCTGGGAAGATGAGCCTAGACGGGGGGGGGGGGGGGGGGGGGGGGGGGGGG